TGACCCTGATGGGCTGGGTGCTGGGATATGGGGATACTGGGATACTGGATATTGGGATGCTGGGATGCTGGATATTGGGATGCTGGGATATGGGGATACTGGGATACTGGGATGCTGGATATGGGATGCTGGGATACTGGGATATGGGGATACTGGGATACTGGGATGCTGGATATGGGGATATTGGGATACTGGGATGCTGGATATGGGTGCTGGGATGCTGGGATATGGGGATACTGGGATACTGGGATGCTGGATATGGGGATATTGGGATACTGGGATGCTGGATATGGGGTTGCTGGGATGCTGGGATATGGGGATACTGGGATACTGGGATGCTGGATATGGGGATACTGGGATACTGGGATGCTGGATATGGGGGTGCTGGGATGCTGGGAAACGGGGATACTGGGATGCTGGATATGGGGATACTGGGATATGGGGATACTCGGATACTGGGATGCTGGATATGAGGATACTGGGATACTGGGATGCTGAGATACTGGGATGCTGAGATGCTGGGATGCTGGGATATGGGGATACTGGGATGCTGGATATGGGGATATTGGGATGCTGAAATAGTGGGATGTTGGATACTGAAATCCCAGGATACTGGTGTGCTGGATACTGGGATGCTGAGATACTGGGATGCTGAGATACTGGGATCCTGGGATATTGGGATGCTGAGATACAGGGAAGCTGAGATACTGGGATGCGGAGATACTGGGATGCTGAATACTGGGGTGCTGAATACTGGGGCAGTGAACACGGGGATCCTAGGACGTTGGGATGCTGAGATACTGGGAAGCTGAGATACTGGGATGCTGGATAGTGGGATCCCAGGATACCGGGACCCCGGGACACTGGGATACCAGATACTGGGCTGCTGTGGTGCCGGGCTGCAGGGACACGGGCACCCTGCTGGCGGGGTCCCTGCGCGTGTCCCAGCGGTGGGTGCTGCAGGACGCCCGGCTGTACGAGGACTGGAAGTGGTTCCGCTGCCCCACGCTGCTGGAGGTGCTGCAGGAGTTCCCCTCGGTGGGGCTGCCGGCCCCCCTGCTGCTCACCCAGCTGCCGCTGCTGCAGCCGCGCTACTACTCCATCAGCTCCGCGCCCGGCCCCTACCCCGGGCAGATCCACCTCACCGTGGCCGTCGTCACCTACCACAGCGAGAGTGAGCGGGGACGGGGACAGGGACGGGGTGGGGGGGGACAGGGGTCAGTGATGGTGCCCCCCAGCCCTGCGGCTGCTGCGTGGCACCGCCAGTCCCAGGGAACCTCCAAATCCCTTGGGTACCTCCAGGTCACCATCAGCTCCCCTGGGGCACCTTGGGGTCCCCCAAGGAATTTCCACCCCCTCAGGGCACCACCAGTCTCTGGGGTACCCCCAAAATCCCTGGGGTACCTCCAGGTCCCCAGGGCACCATCAGCGCCCCCAGGGCACCTCAGGGTCCCCCAAGGGATTTCCACCCCCCCAGGGCACCACCAGTCTCTGGGGTACCCCCAAATCCCTGGGGTACCTCCAGGTCCCCAAGGCACCGCCACTCTCTGGATACCTCAGGGTCCCCCAAGGAATTTCCATCCCCCAGGGCACCACCAGTCCCTGGGGAACCCCCCATATCCCTGGGGTACCTTGGGGTCCCCGGAGTGCCACTAGCCCCTGGGCAATCTTGGGGTCCCCCAAGGAATTTCCACGCCCCCAGGGCACCGCCAGGTACCCCGGGTCCCACCCTGCCCAGCCCCCCCACCAGCCCAGGGGTCCCAGCAGCCGTCCCCACGGCCCCGTGCAGCCCCCGTGTCCCACGGCACTGCGGGTCCCAGCCCCAGCCCCACCGTGGGGCTGCCCGGGCCGGGGTCCGCGTGCCAGGGCCGTGCCTCTCGCCCGCAGACGGCCAGGGCCCGCTGCACCACGGCGTCTGCTCCACGTGGCTGGCGCGGCTGCAGCCCGGGGACACGGTGCCCGCCTTCATCCGTGGGTGAGGGACCGCGGCACCGCGCCCCCAGCCCCAAAACGCGTTTCCCTGCGTGCCTCTGGGCGATAACCCCAAAACTACATCTCCCAGCATGCCTCGGTGCCATAACCCACCGAACTACAATTCCCAGCATGCCTCGGTCCTATAGCCCCAAAACTACATTTCCCAGCATGCCTTGAGACCCAGCCCCCCAAAACTACATTTCCCAGCATGCCTTGGTCCCTCAGACCCCCCCCCCCCCCCCGCCCCCCCCCCAATCTACATTCCCCAGTATGTCCCGGTGCTCCCAAAACTCCACCTCCCACCATGCCTCGGTGCTCCGCCCCTCCCCAAACTACATTTCCCAGCATTCCTCGGTGCCCCCCCCCCCCCCCCCAAAATCCACCTTTCCGTGCCCCCCCCCAGCCCAAGCCCGCTGTCCCCACGCCCCCCGCCTCAGCCCAGCCCCGCAGCCGCCCCTCGCCCCCCCCCCCCAACGCCTTCCCCCCCCCCGTCCCCTCCCCGGACTACAACTCCCAGCATGCCCCGCGCCCCCCCCGCCCTACAACCCCTCGGGACTACATCTCCCAGCGTGCCCCGCGCCCGCTGGGCTGGCCCCGCCCCCTCCCTGCTAACCCCGCCCCCTCCCGTCTGACCCCGCCCCCTCCATCTGGCCCCGCCCCCCGCAGCGCCCCCTCGTTCCGGCTGCCCCCCGCGGCGGACGCCCCCTGCATCCTGGTGGGACCCGGTACCGGCGTGGCGCCCTTCCGCAGCTTCTGGCAGCACCGCCTGCACCAGCTGCACGACGGAGGTGCGGGCGGGGGGACACCGGGGCACCGGGACATGGGGACATTGTGCATGGGGACATTGGGTTGCAGGGGTGCCATTCATGGGGATGTGGGACACTGTGCATGGGGATATGGGGGCATCAGGACATTGGGACATGGGGACATGGTGCATGGGGACACTTTGGGAGCAAGGGGACATTGGGTAGGGGCACATGGGGACACCACGTGTGGGGACGTGGGGGCACCGGGACATGGGAACACCAGGTGTGGGGACACGGGGACACTGTCCATGGGGACATGGGGGCACTGGGACACGGGGACATCGTGCGTGGGGACATGGGACACCACGCACGGGGACACAGGGACACTGTCCATGGCAATATGGGGACATTGGGACATGGGGACATGGTGCATGGGGACACTTTGGGAGCAAGGGGACATCGGGTGGGGGCACATGGGGACACCACGTGTGGGGATATGGGGGCACCAGGGCATTGGGACACAATGCGTTGGGACACCGTGCATGGGGACACCACAGGGGGCAATGGGACATTGGGTGGAGGGACATGGGGACACCACGCGTGGGGATACCGGGGCACTGGGACATGGGGACATTGGGCTGCAGGGATGCCATTCATGGGGACGTGGGGACATCGTGCATGGGGACATGGGACACTGTGCATGGGGATATGGGGGCATCAGGACACGGGGACATGGTGCATGGGGACATGGGCCACCACGCATGGGGACACAGGGACACTGTGCATGGTGATATGGGGACACTGGGACATGGGGACATGGTGCATGGGGACACTTTGGGAGCAAGGGGACATCGGGTGGAGGGACATGGGACACTGTGCATGGGGATATGGGGACACTGGGACATGGGGACATGGGGACATGGTGCATGGGGACACTTTGGGAGCAAGGGGACATCAGGTGGGGGCACATGGGGACACCACGTGTGGGGATATGGGGGCACCAGGGCATTGGGACACAATGCGTTGGGACACCGTGCATGGGGACACCACAGGGGGCAACGGGACATTGGGTGGAGGGACATGGGGACACCACGCGTGGGGATACCGGGGCACTGGGACATGGGGACATTGGGCTGCAGGGATGCCATTCATGGGGACGTGGGGACATCGTGCATGGGGACATGGGACACTGGGACACTGTGCATGGGGATATGGGGGCATCAGGACATGGGGACATGGTGCATGGGGACAATTCGGGAGCAAGGGGACATTGGGTGGGGGCACATGGGGACACCACGTGTGGGGATATGGGGGCACCAGGGCATTAGGACACTATGCATGGGGACACCACAGGGGACATTGGGTGGAGGGACATGGGGACATCATGCGTGGGGATACCGGGGCACTGGGACATGGGGACATCGTGCGTGGGGACATTGGGTTGCAGGGGTGCCATTCATGGGGATGTGGGACACCGTGCATGGGGACACAGGGACACTGGGACGCTGTGCATGGGGACACCCTGTGCAGGGACATGGGGACACCGTGCATGGGGACATGGGACACTGGGCACAGGGCTGTGGGGACATGGGCACACGGGGCCAGGGAGGGGTGGGCGCGGGACTGTGGTGGCAGTGGGGTGCAGGACGGGGGACGCGGGGCTCGGGGGGGTGCTGCAGCCGCTGCCCCCCCGCAGGCGGCCCCCTGGGCAGCATGGTGCTGGTGTTCGGGTGCCGCTCGTCCGCGCTGGACCACATCTACCGGCAGGAGATGGAGGAGGCGCGGGAGAGGGGGGCCCTCAGCCAGGTCCTCACCGCCTTCTCCCGTGAGCCCGACACCCCCAAGGTGGGACGGGGACGGGGACGGGGACAGAGAGCGGGGATGGGGCAGGGGTGGAGGTGGGGGACGGGGAGAGACAGGGATGGGAACGGGATGGGGATGGGGACGGGGCTGGGGGCGCACGGAGGGAGGGAGGCAGGGCTGGCGTGGGGACATGGGGGCACAGGGACATGGGGACTGGGGTGGGGATGGGGACGTGATGGGGACAGGGACATGGGGACGGGGGCCATGGGGGGGGTCTCAGCCACCCCGCGCCCCCCAGGCCTACGTGCAGGACGTGCTGCGGACGCAGCTGGCGGAGGAGGTGCACCGGGTGCTGTGCCAGTGCGCCGGGCACATGTACGTGTGCGGGGACGTGACGATGGCCACCGAGGTGCTGCAGACCGTGCAGCACATCCTGGTGCAGCGGGCCGGCATGACGCTGGGGCAGGCGGGGGACTTCATCAGCGAGCTGCGGGTAAGGGACCTGGGGGGGGGGGGCACACGGACTGGGGAGGGTGCCCGGAGCCGCTGTCCCCACCGCCCCGCTCCCCGCAGGACAAGAACCGGTACCACGAGGACATCTTCGGCCTCACCTTCCGCACGCAGGAGGTGGCGTTCCGCATCCGCAGCCAGTCCTTCTCCATGCAGGAGCGCCGGCACCCCCGCCCGGCCCCCTGAGCGCACGGGGGACACCCCCGTGCCCCCCCACACTGCTGCCCCCCCGCTGCAGGCAGCGCCCGCCCCCCGGTAAAGGTTTAGTTTTTGATAACCCCGTACGGCCTCCTGCGTCCCGGGGGGCTCTGGTGGGGCTGGGGGTGGCAGGGGGGGGGACCAGGTGCGGGTTGGGGTTTGGGCACCCCCAGGGGGCACGGCGCACCCCGGGGGGGCAGCACACGCAGCGCTCTCCAGCACAGCCAGTCTGTAAACCTTTATTTGCCCCTGGGGCTCCCGGGGCCGAGGGGGGGTCCTGCGTCACCCCAGGCTTGGCCACAGCAATGGGGGGGCCCCGGCACGGGTGGGCAGCAGGGACGGCAGCAGCCCCGGGTGCGCCGTGCCCCCCATATAAATATAGCACCTGGTGGGGCCGGCTGCCCCCGGCAGCGCCCCGGCCCCACACCGCAGGCCAGGCACCGGCACGGAGGCGCAGCCACGCGGGGGTCCCCACGGTCGGGCCCCCGGCTGCAGCAGGCGGCGTCGAGCGGCCCCACGGCCCCCAGCCCCGGCCGCCCCCTCCAGCAGCTCCCCCGGGCTGGGGGGGGGCCGGGCGCTGTTGGTGCACCCAGGAACCTGCGGGGAAAGGGGGCCGTCAGGGGCACCCTGCGGCATGTGCACCCCGTAGGACCCTGGCCCCAAGGGGGGGCCCGAGACTCCCCCCTGCACCCACCGGCGCAGCGGGCAGCTAGCCCGTCGTCTGCTCCTCTTCCTCCTCCTCCTCCTCCTCCTCCTCTTCCTCGGCCCAGCCTCCCAGCGGCATCTCCCGGAGCTCCCGGAGCTGAGCCTGCGAGGCGCGGGCGGCCGAGCCTGGTGCAGAGCAGGGTCAGGGCACGCTGTGCCCCACGGCCCCCGAAGTGTGGGGCTGGGGGAGCCCCCCAGGCACCCCCAGTTTGGTCCCACAGGCACTGGGGCCAGCACATGGCACTCACCTGCGGTCACGGAGGGCTGCTTGGGAGCCCCTGCAGCCACCCACAGCCCCACGGCCAGGGGCGCAGGGCCCTGCTGCTGCTGCTGGTGGAGCTGGGGGGGGGACAGGCAGTCACCGCTCGCTGCCCCCCCGGGGGGGCACACAGCGTGGGGCGGCTGGGCTGGGCTGGCAGGGTGGGGGGCTCGTGGCACAGGGCGGTGACACCCAGCCAGGTGCAGGGTGGGGGGGCTGCGGCTCAGGGATGGGGACAGGGGAGGCGCTGGGGGGGCCAGGACCTCACCTCGTGCATGTAGATGGCGTGCAGGCTCATCTCGGCCGACGCCACCTCGGCGAGCACAGCGGAGCGGCTCAGGCTGAGCAGGCGCGACTCACTCAGCAGCAAGCTGCGGGCAGAGCACAAGCACGGGGCTGGCACGGGGCGAGGACACCCCCCTATACCCCCCACCCGGCCCCATGCCCACCCCCACAGGGCTCCGAGCCCTGGACACGCAGCAGCACCTCTCCTCCGGGAGCAGGCGGTCGCTGTGGCAGCCGGGGCTGTCGGCGGAGGGGACGCGCGCCCGCCCGGGCAGCGGGGACGAGAGGGACGCCAGGACGCTGGCGGCGGCGCTGGCCGTGCTGCAGGGCTGGATGAAGCGCCGGTCCCGGGACACCAGCCCGCTGGCGGAGAGGATGGGGCGAGCCAGCACGCTGGCCAGCAAGCCGTCCGGCTGCGGAGACACCGCAGTCAGAGCCACCCGTGCCGTGCCAAATCCCCACAATACCGTGCCAAAATCCCCGCCGTGCCACCCCTCTGGCTCCCCGGGCACGGGGTGCATGGGTGTCCCCAGTGTGCCGCAGTCCCCACGGAGTCCCCGCGCCCCACTCACCGCCGTGGCCGAGTCGTCGGAGAGCAGCGAGGTGCCCAGGGGCCCCTCGGCCAGGATGCGCTGTGCGGGCGGCGCGGCGGCCGCGTCCTGCTGCACCTTCTCCTTCAGGTGGCTGAGGAAGAGCTCGCTCTGGGGGGGCGGCTGCCAGCGCGGGTTGGTGATGGCGAAGTGCATCAGCGACAGCTCCGTCTTCCCGTTCTCGGCTTGCTGGTACACCGAGGCCTCCGTCTGCCCCGCCGACAGCCACTGCGGGGGAGCGGGGTGAGCAGGGAGAGCTGGGGGGTAGCGCTTGGCCCCGGCCCCCCGGCCCCGGCTCCCCTCACCTGGGGGTTGCCGTGGATTGCGGATGTCGAGCTGGGCGAAGGAGCAGATGTCGCCCACCCCCACCACCTCCACCGTGAAGTTGCGGAAGAAGTCGATGATGTCCAGGGCAGCGGGCGGGCAGGGCGAAGATGAGGATGAGGGGGGTGAGGATGGGGCTCAGCAGCTCCTCCAGGATGAAGACCTGTGGGGGTGGGCAGAGGGGGCGTCAGGGGGCAGGAAGGGCCCCCCCCTACTTGCCGCGGCTGCCGGCCCTGCGCTCACCGCCTTGTACTGGAAGAGCTGCGCCATCTCGTTGCGCGTCTCCGACTTGCTGGCGTTGCCCTGCCAGTGGTCGGGCATGTAGTGGATGTGCGCCAGGACGCGCTGCAGCAGCTGCTCCGGGCACCACACCATGTGCTCGTCAGGGATGAAGGACCTGAGGGGCAGGGGTGGGCGTCAGACCCCTGCCAGGCAGCCCTGGTGCCCGCGGGTGGCATGGCTCAGCACGGCACGGCTCGGCACGGCGCACCCACCTGGCCAGCGTGACCACGAGCCCTAGCAGGGTGATGGCGGTGAGGATGTGCTGCACGGTCAGCACGTCCTCGTCGTAGACGGTCAGGACGATGAGCACGGCCAGGATGGAGCCGGCGAAGAAGCCGACGTTCTTGGCCAGCACGGTGAGCAGCGGGCTGGTGAAGGAGTTCATGTACTTGGTGGCCGGCTTGTAGCCGCGGCTCAGGCGCGCCTGCAGCTCGTGGTTGAGCTCGTTGAAGTGGCGCAGGTAGTGGCGGCCGTAGAGCGACCAGCGCCGCGCGCCCAGGCTGCCCGGCTCCCTCTTGATGACCTCGGTGTAGCTGAAGAAGGCGTAGAGCACCTGCCACACCAGCACGAAGGGGCACAGCAGCAGGTTGGCCAGCCCCAGCAGCACCATGGTGCGCGCCAGGCGCTGCGCCAGCTCCAGCCGCGAGCCCGCCCGCTTGTACTGCGGCTGCAGGTTCCACTTGTTCTGGAAGAGCGAGCCGGGGCCCCAGAAGAGGAGCAGCTCCAGGTTGTACTTGAGGCCCTGCGTCAGGAAGACGACGTGGCCCAGCAGGGGCAGGCGGAAGCGGACGGGCAGCAGCGACTTGTTGACCATGGCCACGGTGTAGTTCTTGAAGCGCAGGATGCGGTGGTAGATGTCCAGCTCCGTCAGCTCCTTCTTGTGCACGCACATCTGCTGCTCGCGCTGCAGCGAGATCAGCCGCGCCTGCACCTCCTGCCAGCTGTAGTTGCACAGCCCGTCCTGCGCCCAGGAGAGGCTGGGTCACCGCGGGCACGCCGGCACCACCGCGGCACGGGTGGTCCCCGGGGGGTGCCCGTCCCGGCGGCTCCCCGCCCGGCCCCGCTCACCGAGGGGATGTTGAGGGCCTTGATGTAGAAGGCGCGGATCTCCCAGTAGCTCAGCAGGCTGCACAGCACCTTCACCAGGCGGTACAGCCAGAACACCGCGGCCATCACCAGCAGGAAGATGACCCAGCCGTTGGCGCGGATCCTGGGCGGGTGGGATGGGCGCACGTGGCTCAGGGGGGGGGGGCTCACCGTGTCGCCGTGCCCCCCCGTGCCCCCGCTGCTCACCTCTGGGCGCACTGCGGCGCGGGCAGGATGGCGTCGGGCAGCGTCACCTTGCTGCGCTCCGGGGCTGGCACCTGGCTGTGGTTGAGCGGGCGGTTGGCGAAGAGGACGTCGTACTCCACGCAGCACAGCAGGAAGGTGCTGAAGGTGACGACGAACAGGAACTGCCTGGGGGGGGGGGGCACGGGGCTCAGATGGATGGGGAGGGGGGCACAATGCCAGCCCCTACCCCGTGGTGGCACTTACACCAGCTCAAAGAGGTCGGAGAGCATCATGCAGGCGAAGCCGTTCTTCTGGTGGAAGTGGTAGATGTTGGGCACGCGTTAAGGAATGTGCCCTGAGTGCTGCCCCCCCCCTGCACCTCCCTACCCCCCCTCAGGCGGGCACGAGGCCCAGCAAGGATATCTTGGTGAAGAAATTATCCAGGTTCTTGATGTGGTGCCAGGAGTCTGGCAGGAGAGAAAAACACCGGGGGGGGGCTCAGCCGGGGCCACGTCTCCGGCCACCCCCCCGTGCCGATGGGGGTGCCCCCACCTTGCAGCCCCTCGGTGACGTGCACCAGCAGCTCCTCCTCGCCGGGGGGGGAATCCTCCTCGTAGTCCTCCAGCCGGTGGTACTCGGCCTGCGCTGCCATCGCTGCCTCCGGCTGTGCCGCCTGCATGGGGCGGGATGGGGGTGGGATAGGGGTGGGATGGGGCAGGACGGGACGCGTGCACTGGCACCGGAGAGCCCCTGGCACGGGACCCCCGGCTATGGGGTGGGGATGGGGCCCCCACCCAGCCCAGCCCCGCAGGGGTGCCGTGCCGTGCCGCACTGAGCCGTGCCGCGCCAGGCTGAGCTGTCTGCCCCGGGGCCGGGCGCAGGAAATGCCGGGGAGGCCACGGAGCGCCGCCCGCGTGCCCCGAATTCGGGTGGCCTGAGCTGGCCCCGCACCGCAGCCGCGGGCATGGCCCCGGGCAGGGCCAGGCCGTCGGTCCCGTCCCACCGGCCGCACCACCGCCGGCACCCGGACCTGCTCCGTGCGGTGCCAGCGGGGGCTCAGCTGCACCCAGCATAGGGTGGTCCCGGCCCCCCCCGTGGCAGCGAGCACCCCACAGCCCACAGGGGTGGCCGGGACCAGGGCCCAGCACCGTGCCCTGCGGTCATTTGGTGCCCGGGGAAGGATGGGACCCCCCATGACCTGGGGCAGGATGGAGCACCAGGCCCCTTGGGGAAGGGTGGGACCCCTGTAACCCCCCCATAGGATAGGACCCTAGAACCCTTGGGGAAGGATGGGGCCCCTGTAACCCCCACAAGTAGGATGGGACCCCCATAACCTAAGGCAGGATGGGACCCCCAGACCCCTTGGAGAAGGATGGGACTCCTGGAACCTGGGGCAAGGATGGGAGCCCCCATAGCCCTCCCTAATAGGATGGCACCCCCAGACCCTTTAGGGGAGGATGGGACACCCATAAACCCCGAGGCAGGATGGGGCCCTCCCATAACCCTCCGAGATCAGATGGGACCCCAGACCTCTTAGGGACGGATAGGGACCCCATAGGCCCCCAGGCAGGCTGGGACCCCCAGAACCCCACGGAGAGGACAGGCCCCCTGACCCCTTGGGGTAGGATGGGATGCCCCTAACCTGGGACAGGATGGGGTCCCCCTTAACCCTCCCAGACAGGACAGGACCCCAGACCCCTTAGGGAAGGACGCGACCCCATAAACACCCAGGCAGGATGGGACCCCCGACCCTTTGGGGCAGGACGGGACCCCCAGACTCCCGCAGCAATCCAGACCCCTGTTCCCTGGGGACCCCCCCCACCCCTCGGGGCAGGTGGTGCCGTGCCCCCCCCCGCCCCGTACCCGCTCGGTTCCCGCTGCTGCTCCCCCGCCGCCGGTGCCGCGCGTGGGGCCGAGCCCGGTCCTGGCCGCAGGTGAAGCCGCGCGGCCCCGCCCCGCCCGGGGCTGACTCACGGGGCCGGGGCCGGGGCCGTGATTCAGCACCGGGGGCCCGGGGGGGGGGGGGGGGGGCGCCGGAGGGGGGGGGCCGGGACGCGCTGTCCCCGCGCTGCCCCCCGGCATCGGGTGTCCCCGCGCGCCCCCCCCCGCCCCTGCCGGCCAAAAATAGCCGGGGGCCCAAAAATAGCCGGGGGCAGCGTAAACACCGGGGGGGGGGGCGCTGGGGGTGCACGGCCGGGAGCGGGACCCCGGCCCCCACGGAGCCACCCCCGTCCACGCGTGTTCCCACGGGACACGCGGGAGCCCCGGGACGCGCCCCTGCGGGACTCGCTGTCCCCAAGGACCCCCCCCGGTGCCGCCGCCCCCCCCCTGCCCCGCAGCGACCCCCCGGGACACGCGCGCCCTCCTTGGCCACGGCCCCGGGACACGCGTGGGGACCCCCGAGCGGGGTGGGCTCGGGCACCGGGCCCGGGCAGCGGGGCCGAGGCTGGGGGCAGCGCCCGAGCCCCGTCCCGGTGTCCCCGTGTCCCCGTGTCCCCGGGTGCCCGCGTCGCGGTGTCCCCGTGTCCCCGTCCCCGTGCTCACCTGGCGGCCCCGCCGTCCTCCCCGCTGTGCGCTCACACGGCCCCGCGCCCCCCCCGGGACCGGGCCTGCGCCCCCCCGCCGGGCATGGCCGCAGCGGCACCGGCACGGGGGGGGCGCCCCGGGGGCTCAGCGGGGACCCGGGAGGGGGTCGGGGTCGGGGTCGGGGTCCGGACGCGGGGCGCGGAGCGAGTCCCGGTGTCGGTGCCGGTCGCGGGTGGCTGAGAGGGGGTGTCCCCGGCGCGGTGCCGCGGGCCGGGGGGCTCCGGTTCGGCCCCGCAGCGCTGGGGCCCGGGCCGCGGTGCTGGGGCTCCGCCCGCCGCTACCGGGGCCGCCCCTCCGGAGCCCGCCCCTTCCGTGCTGAGCCGTGCCGGGCCGTTCCGAGCCATTCCAAACCGTTCCGGGCTGTTCCAAGCCGTTCCAAGCCGTTCCGGGCCGTTCCAAGTCGTGCCGGGCCGTGCCGGTGCCGAGCCGTTCCAAGCCGTTCCGGGCCGTTCCGAGCCGTTCCGAGCCGTTCCGAGCCGTTCCAAGCCGTTCCGAGCCGTTCCGAGCCGTACCGGGCCGTTCCGGGCCGTGCCGTGCCGGTGCCACCATGCTGCTGCTGCTGGCGCTCGGGGCACGGACCGGGGCGCGCTCGGTGCGCGCTGCGCTGCGCCCGTCCGCGGCCCCGGGGCGCAGGTAGTGGGGGGGGCAGGGGGGGAACCGGGGTCCTCGGAGTGCCGGGGGGGGGTTGGAGAGGGGAAGGGACGCAGGGGGGGGGGGAGCTGTGGGGGACACAGCCCCCTCCACCCCCCCCCCCCCGTGTCCTCCGCCGTGCCCGGGCGGGGCGCTCACGGCGCTCCCCAGTTGCAGGTACTGGGGGGCCCGGCCGGGGCTCAGCGCCCCCCCCCGCCGCCCCGCGCTGCTCGCCCCGCGCTGCCTGCTGCTGGCCGCCCCGGCTGGCCTGGCGCTGGGCTGCCTGGGCTCGGCTGTGCGCTGCCAGGAGGCCACCGTCCCCGCTGTCCCCGTCGTCCCCGGTGTCCCCGGTGTCCCCGCTGACCCCGCGCAGCCCCGTCCGGAGCCCGTGTTCGACTGGCCGGTCTTCTGGGCCTTCCTGCGCCCGCAGCTCCTCGCCCTCTCGGCAGCCGTGGTGGTGAGCGGAATCGGGTGGCAGGGGCTGTGATCCCATCCCCATCCCCATCCTGGTCCTGGTCCCGGTCCCGCTGATGCCCCGTCCCGCAGCTGGCCCTGGGCGCAGCCCTGCTCAACGTGCGCATCCCGGTGCTGCTGGGGCACTTGGTCAACGTGGTGGCCCGCGGCGCTCAGAGCCGCCTGGCTGGGTACCTGCGAGCTGCGCGCCCACCGGCCCTGCGCCTGCTCGGCCTCTACTGCCTGCAGGTGGGCACCGTGCTGGGGGGGGGACAGGGGGGCTGCACCCCGAGCCCCGTCCCGAGCCCCCCGCTCGTTTCCCGCAGGGGCTGCTGACCTTCGGGTACATCGCGCTGCTGTCGCGGGTCGGGGAGCAGGTGGCCGCCAGCATGCGCAAGGCTCTTTTCATCTCCCTGCTGCGGTAGGGACACCCCGAGGGGGGGGGGACACGCACGAGGGGTGTGTGGGGGTCCCGCCGCAGCCCCCCGGCCCACCCTGCTACTGTCCCGCAGGCAGGACGTGGCGTTCTATGATGCCAACCGGACGGGGCAGCTGGTGAACCGGCTGACGGCCGACGTCCAGGAGTTCAAGTCCTCCTTCAAGCTCATCATCTCCCAGGTGAGGCCGCGGCACCGGACGCCCCCCAGGCCCCCACCCCGGTGCCCGGCCATGCCCTGACCCCATTCTCCGCAGGGCCTGCGCAGCAGCACGCAGGCGGCGGGCTGCATCGTCTCGCTCTACCTGCTCTCGCCCAAGCTCACCGGCCTCCTCCTCCTCGTCATGCCCACGCTGGTGGGCGCCGGTGCCCTCGTGGGCTCCTTCCTCCGCAGCCTCTCCCGCCGGGCACAGGAGCAGGTAAACCCCGCGCCCCTCACCCGCGACCCCCCTGGGGTCACCCTGTCCCACCGGCTGCCCTCTCCATGCCCCTCGTCCCTCTCGGTGCAGGTGGCCAAGGCCACCGGGGTGGCCGATGAGGTGCTGGGGAACGTCCGCACCTGTGCGCGCCTTCGCCATGGAGGACCAGCAGGCGGGGTGAGGACGCGGCGAGGTCCAGCAGGTGGTGGCACAGGGGCGGGGGGGCTCAGGGCTGGCCGCGGTGCCGTCACCCCCCCACCCCACAGGCTGTACTGCGCCGAGGCGGAGCGCTCGAGCCAGCTGAGCCAGCGGCTGGGGCTGGGCATCGCCGCCTTCCAGGGGCTCTCCAACCTGGCTCTCAATGGTGAGTGGCCCCACGGGGGGCAGGACCCACGGGGGGGGTTGGGACCCACAGTGGGGCAGGACCCACAAGCGCCCCGTGCCCGCAGGCATCGTGCTGGGGACCATCTTCGTGGGCGGCTCGCTGATGGCGGGGAATGAGCTGTCACCCGGAGACCTCATGTCCTTCCTGGTGGCCTCGCAGACGGTGCAAAGGTGAGGGCAGGGCCCCCGCGCCCCCCCCCCAGCCTCACTGCCACTGCCTTGGGGCTTTCCATGAGCTCAGCCTCTCATCCCGTAGGTCCATGGCAAACATCTCCATCCTCTTCGGGCAGGTAGGGGGGTCCCACAGGGTCCCTGCGCTGTCACCCAGCTGCTGGGGGGGCACAGGGGATGGGGGCACTCTGGCTGTGTCCGTGTTGACCCCCCCCAGGTTGTGCGTGGTCTGAGTGCGGGTGCCCGCGTCCTGGAGTTCATGACACGTGGAGCCCAAGGTGCCACTGCGGGGGGGCGCCTCCATCCCCAGCCACTCGCTGCTCGGCCACATCGCCTTCAACCACGTCTCCTTCAGGTGAGCCCCCAGCCCCGGCCCCCTCCCCACCGAGCCCCCGGCCGCCCACAGCCCCCTCAAGCCCCCGCACCTCTGCCCGCAGCTACCCCACGCGCCCCGGGCACCCCGTCCTGCGGGACTTCAGCCTCAGCCTGCCCCCTGGCAAGACCGTGGCCATCGTGGGACCCTCTGGAGGAGGTACCGGCACGGCCCCTTCCCGACACCCCTGGGGTGCAGGACCCCGATCGTCTGGAGGTGGGGGCGAGTGGCTGCCCAGTGCGCCCCGACGGGGCTGGGGACTGACACCGCCCCCCCCGGTGTCCCCACACAGGGAAGTCGACGGTGGCGGCGCTGCTGGAGCGCTTCTACGAGCCCACGCAGGGCAGCATCACGCTGGACGGCCACGACATCTCCTCGCTGGACCCCTCCTGGCTGCGGGGCCAGGTCATCGGCTTCATCAGCCAGGTGGGGGGCGCGGGGGGGACCGGGCACATGTCCGGTGGGTGCCGGTCCTGGCGCTCAGGACCCAGCCGTGCCCACAGGACCCCGTGCTTTTTGGCACCACCATCATGGAGAACATCCGCTTCGGGAAGCCGGGCGCCTCCGACGAGGAGGTGTACGCGGCCGCGCGCCTCGCCAACGCCGACGACTTCATCCGCAGCTTCCCTGAGGGCTACGGCACCGTCGTGGGTGAGCGGCGGGGCAGGGTGGGCGGCGAGGCGGGCGGCGGGGAGCGGGGGCACCCAGCACCTCCCCGGCTCTCCGGCAGGCGAGCGTGGCACGGCGCTGTCGGGGGGCCAGCGGCAGCGCATCGCCATCGCGCGGGCGCTGCTGAAGGACCCGGCCGTGCTGGTGCTGGACGAGGCCACGAGCGCGCTGGACGCCGAGGCGGAGCGCGTGGTGCAGGCGGCGCTGGAGCGGGCGGCGCGGGGCCGCACGGTGCTGGTCATCGCCCACCGGCTCAGCACCGTGCGCGCCGCACACCTCATCGTCGTCCTGCAGGGCGGCCGCGTGGCCGAGGTGGGCGGGGACAGGGGGCGGGGTCAAGGGCGGGGCAAGGGGCGGGGCCAGACGTGGGAGGGGCTTCAGGCGGGGTCATCTGGGGACAAGGGGAGCGGAGGGGTCATCGGGAGGGCAAGGGGCGGGGCTATGTGGGAAAGGGGCGGGGCTTGGGACAAAGCAGGGCAGGGATTGGTGGAGGGCCCTAAGGGGGTGGGGAAGGGGGCGGGGTTTGGGTAAAAGGGGGCGGGGCTTGGGTGGGGGTTCCCTGAATGGGGGCGGGGCTTGGAGGGGGTTCTCTAGGGATGGGGCAGGGGGCGGGGCTTGGTCCAAATGGGGCGGGGCTTGGCTCAAATTGAGGGCAGGGATTGGTGGGGGTCCTGCAGGGAGGGGCAAGGGGCGGGGCTTATCCGGGCAGGGGGCGGGGCCTGGAGGGGGGGTCCTCTTGGGGAGGGGCGGGGCTTGCTGGAGCGGTGGGCGGGGCTTGGAGAGGTTACTGGAGGGCACGGGCTGGGGGCGGGGCTTGTCGCAAAGTGGGCGGGGCTTTTGCACAGTGGGCGGGGCCTGCCCGTGCCCCCCCCCGCTGACAGCAGCCCCGCAGGCCGGCACGCACGAGGAGCTGTGGCGGCGGGGGGGGCTGTACGCGGAGCTGACCCGGCGGCAGGCGGCGGAGCGGCGCTGAGCAGGGGGCGGGGGGGGGGGGGGCAATAAAAAAGCTGCCGGACACCGGCTGTGACGTCTGCGGGGGGGGGCGGGCAGCGCCGGCAGTTCCGGGGGGGGGGGGCACCGGGGGAGGGGGGCGGGGCCGGGCTCGGTGCCGCTCCGAAGCCCCGCCCCCCAGGCGGGGGGCACCGGGGGGGCACCGGGGTCACTGGGGGGGGGTCAGGGCCCGGCCCGGTTCGGTTCCCTTCGTCCTGTCCCGTCCCGGGGGGGGCACCCCCCGGTGCCCCCAGCCGCTGTCCCCCCGCGGGGCTCCTCCGGGCGCCCCGGGACCCCCCCCCAGCCCCCGGGCCGGTCCCGGTTCTGCAGCACGGTGTCGGCTCCCACCGCCCGGGGTCCCCAGGCCAACCCCCCGGTGCTCGCAGCTGCCACGGGGGGGTCCCCGCCCGCCCCCCCCCAGGCAGCGGCGGGGCCGGGGACCGGGGCGCAGCGCGGGGGGGTCCCGCGGAGGGAGGGGGCAGCCGGGGTTCGCCCCGCCGCGTCCCTTCTGAGCCCCCCCGGCCCAGCCCCCGTCTCCCCGCGGCCCCCCCGGGCAGCTCCCGTCCCGCGGCACTGCTGCGGGAAGCTCACGGCCCCGGGTAGCGCAGCCGCAGCCTCGGCGCCGTGCACGGGGGCGGCCCCGGGGGGGGGTGGGGGGGGGAGCGCGGCGGGGCCCGGGGCGGCGGCAGCGGAGCGCGGAGCCCCGGGGGAGGCGCCCGGCGCGGGGGGCGCAGCGGGGCCGGGCTGGGGCTGGGGCTGGGGCTGGGGGCGGCGCCGCACCGGGAGCGGCCCCCGGAGAGCGGCCGGGACCGGGGCCGGGAACCGGGGCGGTGATGGGGAGGGGGCGGGCGGCGGCAGCAGCATGAGGGGCGGCGGGGAGGGCGGCGGCGGGGGGGGGGGCCCCGAGCCCCTCTCCAGCCTGCGGGCGTTCGCCAGCAGCTCGTCGCTGCACGGCATCAGCCACATCTTCGCCTACGGGGCCGTGTCGCTGCGCCGCGTGCTCTGGAGCGTGTTCTTCCTGGGCTCGCTGGGGCTGCTGCTGCTGGTGTGTGCCGAGCGCGTCGCCTATTTCCTCACCTACCCGCACGTCACCAAGCTGGACGAGGTGGCCGCGCACAACCTCACCTTCCCGGCCATCACCATCTGCAACCTCAACGAGTTTCGCTTCTCCAAGATCACCCGCAACGACATGTACCACGTCGGCGAGCTGCTGGCGCTGCTCAACGACCGCTACGAGATCAGCAACCCGCAGCTGGCCGAGCCCGACGTGCTGGCGGCGCTGCGCGACAAGGCCAACTTCAAGAACTTCAAGGCCAAGCCCTTCAGCATGGCCGAGTTCTACAACCGCACGGGCCACGACCTGGCCGACATGCTGCTGCAGTGCTCCTTCCGCGGCGCCAACTGCACCGCCCGCAACTTCACCGTGGTGAGTGCCGGGGGACCCTCGCCCGTGCTAGGGCACGGGGCGGTCGCCGTCCTGGGGGTCGCAGGTGGCCGGGGGTGTCCCCACGGGGCTGTGTCGGTGCTGGTGGGCACCTGGGGGAGCCCCTTCCTTGGCACCACCTCCCCATCCCATCTGGTGCCCACCGCGGGGGTGCCAGGCAGCTGGGCACAGTGCCCGTGCTGCAGCCCAGCAGCGTCCCCCCCTGTGCCATCAGCCCCCACCGCTGCCGTGCCCCGCGGAGCTGCTGCAGGCCCTGCACGGGATGAGGGGGCTCAGCCCCAGGCTCCTGCAGTGAGGGCAGCGCGGTGCTGGGGAGCTGAATCCCCCTGGGGGGGCAACGGCAGCGAGGATGGGCAGCGGGACCCCCACCCAGCACGCTCAGCCCCAGCACTGAGGGGTCCCGCTTGTGGCAGGGGTGAGACCCACACTGGGCAGTGCCTGGCTGGGGGGGTGCAGGGCTGTGGGGCCGTGGGGCAGGCACCCTGGTCGCTCCGTGAGGAGGGGGCACGTTGGTGAGGAATTGTCCACCCGCCAGCACCCTGACTTCTGCTCCCCGGTCCCCACCGCAGCCGGCACGAGCTCGGTGTGCGGTCACACCAGCGACGTTGGGGAGCAGGAAATGAATTCGCCTTTGCAGCTCCGCGCCAAGGACTCCCCGGGCAGCCCTGGGCTGCGGCACCCCCTCCCCAGGCTCTAATCCCTCAGGCCGGGTGCTGCTGCGGGGGGGGGCCGGCAGGGTGGGGACAGGGCACGGGGACGAAGCTGGGGGTCTTGGGGCCAGCGCCCGTTCCCCCCGTGCCGCCTGCTGCTCCCGGGCTGCACCGGGCACGTGTGGTCCCGGCGCTGGCAGCAGGAGCGTGCGCGGCAGTGCCCAAGAGGCTGCCCGGAGCCCGGCCGTGCCCCCCCCACCCCCCCAGCCCCGCTGCTGGCTGCACCGGCTGCAACTTTGCCTGCTAAAAATACAGCGCTAATGCGCGGGCTGAGCGCGGATTAGGGTCCTGCTGCCCCCCACCGCCACCCTGCGCTCCGGACACGGCTCCCACTGCAGTGCAGGGACAGAGGTGGCCGTGCGCAGGCACCCGGGTGTGTGATGGGGGTCCCAAGCCAGGGCTGTGAGTGGGGGGGGGGCTCACACCGCATCTGTGCCCCCCCTGAGGCAGTGGGGCTGGGGGCTGAGACATGTGGACCCCCCACAGTGGGTGGAGGTGGGAGATGCTGGGGCCAAGCGCTGCGCGCGCAGGGGCCACGTCCCCGTCCCTGTCCTGTCCCCCCCCCATCCCTCACGTCCTGGTGCTGGGCTGCCGGTTGCCATGGCAGCCCCCCCCCCATGGGCAGCGTTGCCATGGCGATGGCTCCCCTCTTTGGGAGCTCGGTACTGCAGCAGCCGCCCCCCCCCCCAGCGGTGGGGTCAGGACGGGGCCGCCGGGGGGGTCCCACACCACCTGCTGCCATGGGATGGGGCTGGGGGCTCGAGGCTGCAGCAGGCCCAAGCAGCCCACCGCCCCCCTTCCCCTGTGCCTGGTGCAGCCCCTCTGGGGGGGCTTCCGTGGGGCCCCACAGCCTGTGGGGGATGGACTTGGTGTGGGGGGTGCAGGGGGTCGGGGCTGGGCGCAGAGGGGGGGCAGGGTGTGGGGGCAGCTCTGCCTCTGGGGCAGGTTTGGGCAGGGGGCTTTGGTGTCGGGGTGGGGGGATTCTCACAGATCCATGGGGTCTCGGCTCCGGCTCGCCCTGTGGGTGCTGGCGTCCTGCTCCATGGGGTCCCCGGTGCTGGGCAGGCGGGTGGGTCCCAGCAGGGGGACAGGCTGAGCCCCCCAGGGGGACAGGCTGCGTCCCCACCACCCGTGTCCCCGCTGCTGCCCTGCCTCGCCCCCTCTCACGTGTCCCCCGCGTCCCCGCGCTGGCGCTGAAACCCAATCCCCCTGCAGAGCCGCGCTGCGGGACGGTGCCACCATGGCCACGCAGCCGGGCACCGGGGCGCACGGTGCCGCCAGCCTGGCCGCCTTCGCCCGCTCCTGCACCCTGCACGGGCTGGGGCACGTCTTCGTGCCGGGGACCCCCGCCCCGCGCCGCCTGCTCTGGGCCGGCGCTTTCCTGGCCTCGCTGGGCGCCTTCCTGCTGCAGGCCGGGGAGCGGGTCCGGCACTTCGCTGCCTACCCGCACGTCACCGGTGCTGGACGAGGCGGAGAGCCGCGTGCTCGCCTTCCCCGCCGTCACCCTCTGCAACTACAACCGCATCCGGCGCTCCCAGCTCACCCCCAACGACCTGTTCTGGCTGGGCAAGGAGCTGCTGGCCGTGGAGCGGGAGGATTTCTCCCGCTACCTGCGGGCGCTGGGGCAGCCTGCGGATTTCACCGGCTTCTTCCCCAGCAAGAGCTACGACCTGGCCGCCTTCTACCAGCGCGCCGGGCACCCCATCCGCGACATGCTGCTGAGCTGCCGCTTCCCGTGCCGGGACTGCGGCCCCGAGAACTTCACCGCCGTGAGTGCCACCGTGGCCGCTGCCAGCGCCGTGGCCGTGGCCGGCTCTGCCGCATGCAGCTCAGCCCTGGGCAGGACCCACAGCAGCCCCCATCCCCTTCCCCTTCCCCATCCCCATCCCGGGCCAGCTCTGCCCCCGGGGTGGCTCTGTCCAGGGCAGGGCTTGGGCAGGACCCAGGGCAGGGCAGGCTGGGGGGTGCGCAGGCTGGGGGATAGTGGGGTGCACAGATTGCGGGTTGTGGGGCGCACAGGTTGTGGGGCAATGGGATGTGCAGGCTGTGGGGTAGCAGGGTGCACAGGCTGTGGGGCAGTGTCTCTAGGGCATGGCTCCTGCCCCCCCTTTCCATCCCCAGCCCCAGGTGCTTGGTGAAGCCCCCATGGTGCTGGCAGGGGCAGCTCCTCTCGCCCACCCCCAGGGTTGTAGGGCAGCGTGGGGGCTGCAGCACCGGGGCGCATCCAGGGGAGCACAGCGGTGCCAAGCCACCTCCCGGCCCCTCAGCACGGGATCAGCCGCTGTGGGGCCGGGCGGGGGCCAAAACTGCTGTAGGATCGTGCTGGTGCCAGCAGGGAAGGGGGCAGTGTGCCAGCCCTGCCCTGCGCTGCGGGGAGCCTGCAGGGTCCCGGCCCCAGCCCCACTCGGGGCCCTGTGGGGCCCAGCTCCCGTCCCCCTGTCCCAGGGGCAGGCGCTGAGGCTGCCGCCCCCACCCCACAGATCTTCACCCGCCTGGGCAAGTGCTACACCTTCAACTCGGGGCAGCCGGGCACCGAGCTGCTGACCACGCTGCAGGGCGGCGCGGGCAACGGCCTGGAGCTGATGCTCAACATCCAGCAGGAGGAATACCTGCCCGTCTGGGGGGACACCGGTGAGTGCTGGGGGGGTGTGGGGGGCCGGGGAAGGAGGTCAGACCCTGCATAGCCCCCGCGCTGCCTTGCAGACGAGACGTCCTACGAGGCGGGGGTGAAGGTGCAGATCCACAGCCAGCAGGAGCCCCCCTTCATCGACCAGCTGGGCTTCGGGGTGGCGCCCGGCTTCCAGACCTTCGTGTCCTGCCAGCAGCAGCGGGTATCCGGCACCCACCCCAACACTGGGGGGCACCGGGACCCCCTCCCCAGCACAGGCAGCCCCCGCTGTGGGGACCGAGCTGCCCCCGGCTGGGGCCGTCCCGCGGTGCCGCAGCTCGCGGGCGCTGCTGCAGCGGCTCTGGCACCGTGGCGTGGGGCAGCCCCATGCCGGGGCCGCTCGGTCCCTGCTGCAAGCTCAGGCTGTGCCCCCCCCACACACCATTCCCCCCCCCAGCTCCTGCCGAGCAGCCTGCGGGCAGGGGCGGCAGCCAGCTGGCGCAGCCAAACGCCTAAATTTAGGTGCCTGGAGTGGGCGTCTCCATGTGTGCCGGTGCTGCTGGTGTGGGCAGCGCTGCCCCTGCCCCTCTCTGCTGACCCCCCCAGCGCCCCCACTCTTGCACCACCAAGCCCACGGTGCTGGTGACCCCCTGGCTACACCAGGCCCTGTCCCCATGGGGTCCGGAGCCCCCATCCCGCAGTGCCCACCATGGGTCTCCCCTCTCGGCCCCCCCAGGGCTCTGTGTTGCCCACCCGTGGGATGGGGCCACCGAGGTGGGACGGGGCCGTGGGACGGGGCCGCCGACGCTGACAAGTTTTCCTTAGCACGGGCCCGGCAGCTGGTGTACCTGCCCCCGCCCTGGGGGGACTGCAAGGCCACCCCCATCGAGTCCGACTTCTTCACCAACTACAGCATCACCGCCTGCCGCCTCGACTGCGAGACGCGCTACCTGGCCGAGAACTGCAACTGCCGCATGGTGCACATGCCGGGTGAGTGGGGGGAGGGTTCGGAGGGGCAGGGACCCCTCTCGGGACCCCCCCTATACCCCATGACTGCTGCGTCCCCCCACAGGCAATGCCAACGTCTGCACACCGGAGCAGTACAAGGAGTGCGCTGACCCCGCGCTGGGTAGGTGCAGCCCCCCAGGCACAGCCCTACTAGTCCCCAAACCCGACCCTGGTCGGTTCCACCGGGGGATTTGTGGGTCTGGGGTCCTGCTGGCAGCACTCATGGGACGCGAGCAGGGCAGGGGGCTGCGGGCCTGCACCCCCCCGTCCCAGCCTGTGCCCCCCCCAGACTTCCTGGTGAAGAAGGACAGCGAGTACTGCGCCTGCCGCACGCCCTGCGACATGGTGCGCTACGGCAAAGAGCTCTCCATGGTGAAGATCCCCAGCAAGGCCTCAGCGCGCTACCTGGCCAAGAAGTTCAACAAGACCGAGCAGTACATCGCGTGAGTGCTGCACAGCCCTGCTGCTGCCCAGGGGGCACGGCACGGCATGGCACGGCACAGCATGGCACAGCATGGCATGGTACAGCACAGCATGGCACGGCAAGGCACAGCACGGCACGGCATGGCACAGCATGGCATGGCACGGCACGGCACAGCATGGCACGGCACGGTACGGCACAGCACAGCATGGCACGGCATGGCACAGTATGGCACAGCACGGCATGGCATGGCACGGCATGGCACGACACGGCACGGCACAGCATGGCACAGCCACGTACCCCCTCCCAGCACGCAGCACAGCATGGAGCAGCACGGCACGGCACAGCCTCCTGGCTTCACACCCACCCCAGCACAGAGCAAACCGCGTGGCACCGCATGGCACAGCCCCGCTGTGCCGCCCCCAGCGTGCACACAGAGCCCCCCCATCCCACCCGGGCACGGCGCAGACCCCAGCTCAGTCGCCGTGCCATGGGGGGCTCGCCTGCCTGCCCCACACCCGCCTGCCCCCCAGGGACAACGTGCTGGTGCTGGACATCTTCTTCGAGGCGCTGAACTACGAGATGATAGAGCAGAAGAAGGCGTACGAGGTGGCGGGGCTGCTGGGTGAGTGCCGCTGAGGGCCGGGACTGGGGTGGGGGCCGGGGGGCGGCCGCGCACCAACGCTGCCCCCCCGTGCCCCAGGTGACATCGGGGGACAGATGGGGCTGTTCATCGGCGCCAGCCTGCTGACCATCCTGGAGATCTTTGACTACCTGTACGAGGTCAGGCTGCCTGCCCCCTCCCTCGCCCCCAGCACCCGCAGGGCCAGTGGGTGGGGGGTGCTGACCCGTCCCCCCCCGCAGGTGTTTCGGGACAAGCTCCTCGGCTTCTACAAGGACAAGAAGCGGATGCGGCGGAGCAGCAGCAGCACCCTGGTAACCCCCCTCCAGCGCCCCGCCAGCCCCCTGCCCCGCTCCCCCCCCCCCCCACCCCCCCATCCCCGGCACCTCATCCCACCCCATCTGCGGCCCCCGCGCCTCACGGTCTCCTCTCTGTCCGCCCGCCCTGCCCCAGGAGCATCCAGCCGTGCCGGGCAGCCCCGCCGCCGCGCTCCCGCCCGGGCCCAGGTAGACACCGGGGAACGCAGGGACACCGGGGGGGGCGCGGGGCGAGGACGGCGGCAGGGCCCCCCCCTCCTGTCCCCCTCCATCCCAGGCTTCTCTCGGCACCATCCTCGGGGCCGGCTGCGCTCCCATCCTCATGCATCACCCCCAGCATCGCGCCACCGCCCCCAGGCACCGCAGGGACAGCGCCAGGGCCGTGCCCTGCGTGGGGTCGGGGTGGTGCTCCCGCAAAATGGGGGGGCTCTGGGGGGGGGCCCTGCCCCATGGAGCGTGTGTGGGGTGTGGGGTGTGCGTGTGGCTGCCGTGGGACGCGTGGGCGCAACGACACCACGCACAGCTCGGACACCTCCCCGGTCCTCTGGGACCCCCGTGGGGCAGCTGAGGGGGGTGGAAGCGGCCCCCCCAGAGCCCCCCCCCCCCCACAACTGCTGCCCCCCTCGTGCCCGCAGAGTGCCTGCCACCCCCTGCGCAGCCACGCGGACGGTGTCGCCTTCGCCCCGAACGTGCTACCTCGTCACCCGGCTCTAGGCGCCCTGGAGGAGTTCGCCTGCTGAGGGGCCCGGCCCCGCACCCCCGGCCGGCCGGGGGGGGGGGGCGTTTGGGGCTGGTGGGGGAGCAGACCCCCCCCCCGGCCCCACACGGCGCCCAGGCGGCAGGGGGCTGCGGGGCTCCCCGTGTCCCTGCATGTGCTGCTTGTCCCCCGTCCCCGCTGTACATGCGCCTCCCCGCGCCATTAAAGTCCTGCCCCAGGCGCTGGTGGTGTGGCTGCGCCTCGGGGGTGTCCCACCCGCCAACCCCCCCCCCAAAAACAGCCTGCGGCCCCCCCACTGCACCAGGAAGGAGGCGGCTCGGGGAGGGGGAAGCTCTTTATGTCTGTACCAACCGCGCAGCAGCCCCCCGCCCGCAGCGCGCTGGGGAACGAGGTGCCCCCCCCGGGGCCAGCACCGGGGGGGTCCCGTCCGCTGCCAGGGCTGGAGGAGAGGTCGGGGGGGGTGGGGGGGGGGCGCGGGGGTCCGGCCCCCCAGGTCCTGCCGCTCTGCCAGCACCGCGGGGGGGGACGCCGGTGCCCCAGCCCTGCGGGGCAGGCCCAAGGGAGGGGGGCGCTGGATAAAAACCTAATAAATAGCGGGGAGGGGGGGGGCTGCGGGGCGCTCGTCCCCTGCTCCCCCCCCCACGGCTCGGCGCAGGGACGGGGCCAGGCCTAGGGTGGGCAGAAGTCCGTGAAGTAGGGGTGCTGCAGGGCCTCCTCCGCCGATATCCGCTGCACCGGGTTGCACTTCAGCAGGTTCTGCGGGTGGGCACAGGGGGGGGTGAGGCTGGGGGGGTCCCAGGAGCAGCCCCCCCAGTCCCACACAGCCTCAGAACCTCCCCCCCCCTGCAGCGCTCACCTGCAGCAGGTCCCGGCCGGTGGCGTTGAGCTTGGGCACCACGTTGACGAGGGAGGTGGTAGGCGGGGTACATGGGGTAGGGCTGGGGACAGCCGTGAGAGCCGGGCCCCCGCGCCCACCGCGCCCCCCCCCCCGGACCCCCCCCCCGTGCCCTCACCTTGTAGTCGGGCAGCTTGGCCATGGCCGGCCACTGCTCCTCCGTGGGGGTGCCCAGCAGCGTGGGGGCGGCCGCAGTCAAGGGCCACGGCTGCGGGGTGCTGGGCAGACCCCAACCCGGGGACCCGTGCGCCCCCCCAGCCCCATCCCAGCCCTCCTGCACCCCCCCCGTGCCCCCCACTGCCCAGAAGGATATCGGAAAATCCTCTTCAGCTGGTCGTCCACGTCGTTCCCCGGGAAGAGCGGCCGCCCCGCGTTGGCCAGCTCTAGGCAGGGAGCGGGGATGAGCCCCAAGAGCCCCCCCATGGGGGGTCCCGGCCCCCAAACCCCCCCCCCGGTGCCGCCCGCCCCCACCTGCAAAGATGCAGCCGGCCGACCACATGTCGATGGAGGTGGAGTAGAGCTTGGCACCGAACAGCACGT